GTATGTCATGTCAAAAGAGGGGGCAGGCTGCGTATTACAGCAGTATGATCTGAAATAGCCTGAGGAGGCAAGCCCAGAGAGAACCGAACTAGCTTCGTGTTCCCAGGAACTGATGGAAGAGAGAGGGGGGTGACTATTACCAGGGTGGGGGTTTCTGTTGGGGGTGATGGAAATGTTCTGGAATCAGGTCCTGGTGATACTCGTACAACATTGTGAATTATATAAACCACTAGAAACTAGCGAATGGGATACTTTCAAAGGGAAAATTGATACTAGGTTCATTCTCATTTTTCAAAAGATTGCAAAAGATAAAACCAAACACAAGGGGGCAAGCCAGCTTGCTGACCCCTGTCCTAACACAGAAAGCCTGACACACTGGCACCTGTTTACCTGTCCAGCCTCACCTGTACCTCACTCACTGGCCGTCTCTTGGCCACTCTCACCTGACTGGCTTATTTCCATCTGAGAGCCTTTGTCTTTGCGTTTCTCCCTGCCAGGAACACTTCATTCTCGGCTCCTTGTCTGGCCAGCTCCTCCTCATCCTTTGGGTCTCCGCTCAAAATACTACCCCCTCCAGGAGACCTTCCCTGCCACCCTGAGAAAGGGGCCACCTCTCCGTAGGGACTCTCTTTGACACACACCGTTTTAATTTCCTAATAATTATTATCACTACTAGACCCTAGCTGATCCTTTCTGTCCTTTTCTGTCTTCTTCCCACCCCCGTCCAGCCCAGAAGAATTTCATCTCTGTGAAAGTAGGAAGGTGGTTTTAAAAACATATCCAGAAATCCCTCGGCTCTTGTTCCTTCAAAGGGTGGAGCCTAATCTCTTTGTCTTTCTGACCCGACGTGAGTGCGGCCTTGGTCTCAGTGACTCACAGCTAACAGAATGTGGTGTGTGTGACTCCTGAGGTTAAGTCAAGAGGGAAAAAAAACCCTCACTTTTGCCTGGCTCACTCCCTCTCGGATCAGCGACTCTCAGGGGAACCAGAGGCCCTGTTGCGAGGATGCTCAAGCAGCCCTGTGCAGTGTCTATGTGGACAGAAACCAATTGGACAGGCCAGGCATGTGGGTGAACTTCCTGGAAGCAAACCCTTCTGAAGATTTCAGTCCCCCAGCCTTTGAGTTTTTCAGCTGAGGCCTCAGACTCACAGAGCAGAGGCTGCCCCAGTATGCCCTCTGAATTCCGTCCGAATCATGAGCTATTCACGGATCACTGCTATCTGAAGCCTCTAGGTGCGGGGTTAACTTGCTACGTAATAATAGATAACGAATCGAACAACCTTGCCTGCCGTAGTCACTGCTCAGCCCCCAGCCCCTAGACTGTGTCAGGGATGTAACAATCACTACGAGTGCTCCCAGATTTCTCTGCAGCCTTCTTTCAAAGGACTCCCCCGGAGGATAGATGGCGACAGAAGGCCAACTCCAGGATGAGGCAAGCCCCACTCACTGATCTGTAACACGCAGCTGGCTTCTGACTTCGTCCCCAGGATGTGGCTCCCAAGGCACTTGAATTTCTTGCCATTCGACAGCTGGAAGCGTTTCAGGCTCTGCACCCCCAGGGTGGACTCCCCCAGGACCACGCCTCCTGGCTCTTCTGTCCACAGCAAGTGCGGCTCCGGGTATCCCCCGTCCCAGTGACAGATGAGCTGCAGTGTGGTCCATCCCGGGGACGTCTCTGCCCAGCACTGAGGGCTTGATGGCGGAGGGTCTGGAAATGCCAGGGGAGAAGGTGGGCTGAGATTAGTCACGGGGCTGGCGCTCCGAGGATTAGGGAAATGGGACATTCGAGAAGCGTCAACTCTAGTGAGGAGACCTTGAGACATCTGCCAACACAAGCTGGTACCTGGGAGTATCCTGAAATTTTATTTTTTAATTTCCTTCCCAGAACTCTTTGCTCCTTCATTCTGAGGGTGATCGCAACCCTGTCCCTGGTCTCCAAACTAATCCACCGTATTCCCCCCGGCTTTCCCTAAACCAGGGGCCTCAACTCACCCCTCTCCGCATCTAGAACCATCCTCACTACAGGTGTCTGTGCTTCCTTACGACGCACTCCGACTGCCCTACTCTGGGAAATTAGAATCTTTTTTTCTTTTTTAAGTGATTCTCTTTGCCCATCGTGCTCTTCCCCACCGTAAAGTACCAGTGCAATACGCAACACCGTGAGTCATCGTGGAAACGCAAAGGAAAGCCACACCCATTCAACTGGCTAAAAGGCCAAGTGTTGGGCATGGCTGTGGCGGAACTAGCGCTCTCAGACACTCCTGGGGTGGGGCGGGGGTGGGTGGGCAGATGGTGCCGAAACAGTTCGGCAGCATCTGCTAAAACAAAATATCCTTTTATGATCCAGCACCTCACTCTCAGCGAAATTAAGGTGTAGGTTCATATGAGAACTTATACACTAATAATGTTCCATGGAATGCCACCATGGAAAGGATTCTGAGTTAGTTAATTGTGCCAACCTGGCCGATAATCCCATGTGGGGCTAATTGAAAGATGGAGGGATAAATGGGTGGTGAGCCTCGCCTTTCTAGTTCTCGGGTCTCTTGCTTTGTGATGGTCGCACCAGGGTGCAGATGCCTTAGCAGTTCCCTGCTTCAGCTTGCAAGATTGACTTCCTACAAGACATCCCCAAGGAGAAGCCGCATGGACCTATCCCGATGCAGCCCTGGGTGCTGGAGCAGCCGTGTGGAGACCCCTGCTAGTGCTGAGATGCTTGTTCGTTCACTGACTCAGCTTTCCTCCTTCGGCATCATTGCCTCTGTTTTGTGAGGTGGAGGACTTTGTGGACTGGTGTTGGGTTAATGGTTTAATGTTGGACTTGTGGGTTTGGGCAGCATTGGGTTGGGATGTTTTCATGATGCACACTTTCTTTACATAAAACTCTCTCTTATACATGAGTTGCCGTGGATTTGTTTCTCTAAAGTACCTAGACTAATACAGACTCTAACTCAATAAAGTGACCCTACATAGGTTTTCTGAGATCACGTCGCTACCACAGCCGACACAGGCCCACTCCCAACCCACGGTGCCAGAGCACTCTCTGTGTATGGCAGCGCTCTTAGTAATCCTGAGAAACTGGCATCCACCCAAGCACCCTTTCAGAGGTGAGTAATAGACAAGCTGTGGTCTACGCTAAGACAACAGATAACAAACAAGACTGTGCAGTCCTTGAATTCCCTGTTCGTTCGTTCATGGCTGTATCAATAAATAACTCCATAGAATTATGGCGCAGTCACCCCACAGCGGGCTTAAATGTAACCATGATTGTGAGGAGGGCGCAGGACTGGGTAGGGTTTGGGCTGTGTTTAGGGCCGCTGAGTCAGAGCCAACTCAAGTTCTACAGCACTTAATAACACCGCCACCAACTCTAGATATAACTATACATGTACACAACACAACTGTGTGTAACTATATAACATGGAACGATATGCGATATATATATAATTTGTTGTTAAGTCCCATTGGGTCCATTTTCAACTCCCAGGGACCCCGTGTGATATAGGACAACTGTCCCATTGGCTCTTATAAGGATAGAGGGGCATGCGGCAGCTTCCAGGAAAAGGAAAGGCAAGATACCAAAATGATGACTAAAACACCCTGCCACGGAGGCAACACCAGTTCCCCGGGTCACCATGGTGACCTCCTCTGTGTGAACAGGACTGTGCTCATTTCATAGGGCTTTTGATGGAAAGTAGATCACCACCTCCTTCTTTGCAGGAGCCTCTAGATGGGCTTGACCCACCAACCTTTCAGTTAAGCAACCGAGCACATTGACCATTTATGCCCCCCAGGGACTGAAAAGATGGTTAGATGACAAGTGAGTATTTTCTTCTTTCTACTCCTCTGTATTTCCCTAACAAGCATACATTGCTTTACAGACAGTAAAGGGCATTTATGACAAGAACACAGAGGCTTCTGAGGGCTCTAAATACAGACGGCTTCAGCATCGTGTCACGATCCTGCCCCCTAGTTTATTGCGCTGACATCCCCTTTCACCACACAGCTGAATGGTGAGTGCACGCTACCACTTCTATGGTGTTTTCTGTCCCAGGTATTTGTCTATAAGGGATTTGGTTGGAGCTTCTCCACCCTGAAAATAACTGCTCATGAAATTGCCGGTTCCTAGAGCGTCCAAGGGCTGGAGCACCCGGTTCCTGAAGTGCCGTGAGCAAGACTGTATGAGGCTCCAGGTCATTTCTCCTGTGGCTCAGTTACTGCTAATTAGCAGCGAGCTTCTAGACGAGGTCCCTCCCTGCTAGGTAGCCTCTCGAACATGTAGCACTCTCGTGTGTGTGTGTGTGTGTGTGTGTGTGTGTGTGTGTGTGTGTGTGTGTTGGGGAAGGTGGGCACATACGCACGGTGGTCCATACAACAGGTGTGCCTTTGAACACCAGAAGGAGACTCACAAACAAGCAGCAGACAAAGGGTTACGAGGAAGAGGGGCACTGCTTACGCACAGTAGACCAGGAGCTCGGTGGTCACCTCGTGTCGTCTGCTGCTGAGCATGTTCATGGCCACACAGGTATAGTTCCCCTGGAGGTTTTGTGACACCTGTAACAGTGCGAAGCTGCTGGCCGCCAGGTTGTTTCCAAAGGGCTCGATCCTGGAATCTGGAGCTCGGAACCACCACTCCACCACCGGGGGCGGCCTGGAGCTGCTGCTGCAGCTGAAGGCCACTTGGGTGCCCCTGGCGGCATAGAGGGTGCCGTTGGGGAGCTTGCCGGTGGCCGAGATGTTGACCTCGTTCTGATATGGGCCACCTAGGAATGAAAAGGAGGGTGAAGAAGGAGTTAATTACCTAAAGAGTTTCTTTGAACTCCTAACAGGGTGGGTTTCTGGGGACGTGTGCTTAAATATTAACAATGTGTATATGAAGTTGGGTCTAGTTCCAATAGTTGCTGGGATCATGTCACACACACACACACACACACACACACACACACACACACACATCCCTACAAAGAATGGGAGGGA